CACCCCTCTGCCTCGACCCCGCGGCGGCGGGTCGCGATATTTCAGAGGCGCTATTTATAGGCGCGGGTTCGGCGCCAGCCCATACCCTGTGCAATCGCAAGCTCTCTTAATTGGCGGACGCCCTCTTCTTACAGAGTCCATGTTGCCATAATCGTCCACGATAAAGTTCACTGCTGGACAATTAGGCGGGAAACTGGCATTACTCTAAATGTTGCACTCTTTGTCGTGGAAACCATAAAGATGGCTTTAATGTTTTTTTTCCTAAAATTTTTCCAGTTTCTGAGAATCTAAGCGAGAATTATACACACACCTATAAAAGACCGGAGGCTGCACTACTTTCTCAACAAATCTTGCGGAATCAGAACATTATACATTTGATTTTGTATTTCTTCTTAGTTTTTGGGGTATCGTGACGAAATTACAGGCACTCTATTAAAGGCGCTGGAGCGTTCATTCTTTCCTTTCAATTTCTATGCGCCGGGACACGCAGGCATTCCGCTCGTCTGGAGGCGCCCGAACACCCGATCCGACCTGTTCGAAGCAGAGCAGCGGCCATCGTTACAGCCTTAAAGTGCTCCACACTGCAAATGAACATTCGAAAAGCACTGCGCAGCGTAGCAAAAGAAAGAGCCGAGACTTGAGCCACGGTAGAAACTCGCAAAGGCCGAGGGCGCCCCGCGCCCGCTCCGCCCCTCGCTCCGCCCCGCACCCGCCCGGCCTTGCCCCCGCTTACCGACCCCGCCCCGCCCCGGCCTTTGCCCCGCTCCGCCCGCCCCGCCCGCCGCCGCCCCGCCCGCCAAGGGCTCGGCCCCGTCCCGCCCAGCTGCCGCCCGCCCGCCCGCCCCGTCTGCTTGTCCCCGCCCCGCCGGCTTGGTCCCCCCCAACCCCCCCCAAAAAACCGGGGCTCCGCCCCGCCGCGCCCCGCCGGCGCGCCCGCTCCGCTCCGCCCCGCCCCGCCCGGCTTTGCCCCGCCCGCCGCCCCGCCCCGCCTCGTCCCGCCCGCCCGGCTCGGCCCGTCCGCCCACTCCCGCCGCCGCCCGCCCCGGTTGCTTGTCTCCGCCCGCCGCGCTTGTCCCCACCCGGCTCCGCCCGCGCGCCCCGCCGCGCCCCGCGCGCCCCGCGCTGCCACGCTCCGCCCGCCCCGCCGCGCTTGTCCCGGCCCGCCCGGCTTAGCCCGTCCGGCTCCGCCCCGCCCGGCTCTCGCCCCGCGACAGAGCCAAAGCAGAGACAGAGCCGACCGAGCAGAGCAGAGCAGAGCGAGCGCAGGCGAGAAGTTGCGCCGGGTGCATGGCGTGGCCACGCCGTCCATTCAAGGCGATCACTTCGAAAAACACACGTAC